CTATATTTACGTTATATCTCTTCTGATATCGTTTATACTTACATATAAATATAGATGAGAAAATAAGCTTTAAAATGACATATAGCTTGTGGCTTATGAAGTTCAAAATACATCTGCTATTGCCAGCAGAAGTATTTTTTTTCTCGTTTGCCCCCGCCGGCGGGGGCAGTCAATGACGTCAATGGCAGTCAAATACGTCATTGACTGCCATTGACGTATTTGTCTGAGACCCTCTATTCGGCTGGGGATAAATGGACAGCAAAAATAGGTAGAAACAAACTTATTTTGCTGATTGAAAGTAGACAATCCAGTCTTTCAGATATCTGGTTTCATTTTTCACATAGTTTTAGGAGAAAATATTCTATGGGTCTTGAGAATCAGTGAAATCATCAAAACGGTTGGCAGACAATGAGTTAAATGTTCATAAATGTCCAGCATCAGGGCCTGTCCTTACTGTAGATTTGTGTGTCTCAAACCTATAGCTCGGCAGCTGGCAATAGCTCCCCATTCTCTTTCAATTAGCTCCCTAAAGAATTTTTTTTTAATTTAGAAAAATGTCAATATTTAAAATTGTATGTTTCTCACGACAACTATTATTAACCTTTTGAACCATGTGCACTAGTAAATGGATAATATATTGCTTATAGATAGATATCCATAACGCAATCCAAGGCATGTCACCGTTCTACTGTATTATTGACTATTTCTTCTGAGCCGGTTAAACCTTCTGCAGTTTTTGTCCTGAAAGAGAAGATCCGTGGAAAATAAAAAAAGGTTCAGGACCCCTACTGTAGACCCTTACCGCATTTGCTTCTGAAGTGCATCAGTTCAGTAAAGCAGTGTCGTCGCTCCGTGGCCTAGTTTTAAAGTACATCTGTGACATGTTAGAGTCATATGAATCTTGGTCTCTGAGGAGTTGAATAAGAAACTGATCCAGAAACATCCCATGTATGAGTTTGTAGCATTCTAGTTGTTTAGTGGTGTATCTTAATGTAGTGTATGTGTATAATGTTGTTTACCACGATTAGTTCTGTTGTACAGTTTGACAAAATGAGCTCCAAAGTCCATAGGGCATGTACAGCATTTTTGCGAGTCAAGAAATTCAAGCTGACTTAAAGGGGCTTTCCTCAACTGTCCTGGTAGTGGGCGGCTTTTTGCTTGGGTTCTTCTAAATATTGTGTTTTCCCTTGATATAAAGTATTGAAAATTAGCATATTAAAATTCTTGTATGTTCAAAGTTGTGAAAGTAAGGCAAATGTTGTATACGTGTGCTTGTGTTTGTGTACATATTTTCAATCACTAAAATTACTGAGAAAAGTACGTGTTTTAAAACCAACCTAAACAGCATTTCAAGCAAAGAAATATTTATTGCACAAAGCGGGTATTGCCCCCTTCACAAAAAGTACATCCGTAACTGGATGAACCAAGTCTGACTCTGAGGAGCACAGGGACTAACCTCCTGATGGCATTTCAGATTTATGCAGCTACGATTGGGAACAGTCTACCTGAAAACATGACACAGGTTTCTCACATTTTGATCCGTAAATACAAATATGAGAATGTCTGAAAATAAAAGACATTTGGGAGCAACACAGCTGTGCAGATTCTGATCTATTTTTCATATTTTGTACTTTTGTTAATCCAGCATGCTAGATAAGGCTGGATTATGATGTGTGGCCTTACTTAAAAGGGGCCGAATCTTATTTTGTTCGTATATTGTGGTATTTTTTTGTGTTAAATAAAACTCATTTTGACAGATAGTTTCACCCTTAGCAGTTTCTATCAATAATAATCGAGAGGGGTCGCAGCTCCTCTAAGTACGTCATCATTTTTCTGGCCAATCAGAGGCGTTGATATTAAAAGGTTATTTTACTGATTTATTACTTATCTATAACACAAAAACACATTGCAAAGGTGGGAAATACATGCTTTTAATGTGTTTTATAAGAAGAAAAAAAAAGTTTTTAATAACCAGATAATCAAATCCAGGTTAAAAACAGATCAGGTTTTTTATTGTCACTATTTGTACTATTCACTATTTTTCTTTGTTTTGTTAAGCCCTTTGAATTACCTTGTGTGTAAAGTCTGCTATAAAGATAAAATTACAAAAGGACATGTTCCATACTTTTTTCCTGTCCACCACAGCATGTCTAGTCCCTGTAACCTCACATGAAGCTGCAGCGCCTCTTATCTTGCTTCATCTATCTTTGGTTTACGTTTGTGCTGACCAGGTCAAAGCACGGCTGCGCTCCGCCAGAATATTTCAACATTGAACGCTGCGTCCTTGTCAGCGAAAAACAGCTCTCCCCCGAGTGAAGGACTGGAGCGGAGTGAGAGGTCAGACAGAGAGAGGGAAAGAGGCAGAAAATGAGCCCAGCCTTCACAGCAGCTAAAAATATGAACTTTAATACGCACTCGCTAATACTGTAGTCTACTGTACTGGAGCTGAGGGGATTTGAACTGCACTCTTTTGGTCTGAAGAGTTTAACTGGGGCTTAACTGGAGTTTAACTGGAGCTGCAGCGTTTTGGATGTACATGTACATTATATTAACATTTCGAGATTGTACCGAAGAATGAACCAGACTTCCTGCATATCTCTAGATTCTCTCATGTTTTCAAACAAGATCACAGTGGTGTTCTTAGTAGAATTAAAAGTAATCAAGTTAATAACCTTGCTAACCCACTATTGCCTGGTATAGAAGAACCAAATACGTTTACGATCCCAGTGTGTATGTAGTAGATGTAGCCTTCAAATATGTCCACGTGCCTACTATAATTACGTCGTCAGCTAACCTAAACTTCCAAGGCCGTGGCATAATTATTAGGCCTTTCTCACTTAAAACAGTCTCGTCTATCCTTATTCCACCTCTGCCCGTCTCTGCACCCCCCCCCCCCCCCCCCCTTCCCCTTCCTTCAAGAAGCCACT